GGGGGGGGGGGGGGGGGGGGGGGGGGGGGGCGGCCAAGTGAGCTTCATTTTTTAATGTGAAGTTTCTTCGAAACTTCACAGTATTGTGATGACTGGGGGGGAAATTCAAACGAATCAGTCATTCATTCAGTCATTCAGTCAGTCATAGGGTAAACTTTCCGGGGGTGTAGACGATTTATGTTCGTAGTGATTTATTGCTTTGAAGGTTATTTAGGCAGTTTCAGTTGTCTTCTTTAAATATCATTTTGGACTTTTGCCAAGTTCACAAAAATTTCGAGGAATCGTTGTCGTTATGCAAATTTTATAACATTCGCTTCTCGTCGGTTTTTCGTGTTGTGTAAAGGATCTTTCCCCCGGAACACCCGATTTTTTCTTTAGCAGCGCAAATGCGCATGCGCTATCAAGCCGTAGATCAACGATAGCGTGACGATGCTACGAAGGAGCGAGGCAGTGTTGTTTTCAAATATATGAATATTTTAGACACGAGTATTACTATTACAGCTAGTAAATCTTTAAGAATCTGCGCATATATAAATTGATGTTATGCATTATGGGCATTCAATCAAGTACCGATAGTATTTTATCACGGTATATTCATTATACGAAGTTGGTAAGGAGCTAGACAGTGCTTTTTTTCAAATGTATAAACATTTCATTTTCAGAATTCAGACGTAAATATTGAGAAAATCTTTGAGATTCTAGGCATTCAATTAAGTGTCGATATTATTTTGACGGTATATTCGTTATACAGAGCTAGGAAGGAGCCATACAGTTTGTTTTTAAATATTAAATATAAAAACATTTAAGACATGAATATTTTGGATTCTACGCAATATATAAATTGATGTTTTGTATTTTACCGGCATTCAATTAATATTTTAAATGCCGATATATATTATTTATATTCATTATACATCGACTGTATAAGGTGCTATTAAACAGAAGCGGTCTTTGTGTCATTGTATGGCGTTATAATACGAAGAAAATATAACCAACAAAATAACTTGTTGCGAGACTAGAGAAAATCTCTTGACTGGTCAGAGCTCTTTATTCAAACGAGAAAGACGAGGAAATAGCCAACGTATATCGCTTTACAGTATGAAATGTACAGTCACGGGCCTTGTTCACATGTCTGGCACAACTGTGCAAACTCGTGTTCAATGCAGTATTTAATGCAATGAGAACTCTACCAGATCTTACAAGAATCTATCTGTATCAAAGCTTTATCAAAACTGCTATAAACACTGCTATAACTGTGGAACTATTGACATCTAAAGTGAAATTATTGAATACTTGCGAAAAGCTGAAAATGACTCATGAAAAGCAACTTGATCTTGGGAATATAAGGTCAAAGGTCAATGAGACTTCTTGTTGTGAAACATGTCACAAATCACAATTAGGTTAAAATGCGGAAGCGGATGAGGAACGTAGCGGATCCACGGAGCGGATCCACGGAACGGTTAATGATGCAACGTCTAGTGCTTATTATTCATAACATATCTTTAATCATGTACAGTTACGTACAGGTATTTGAATTAAAGTTGTCACTGAGACAATAGTCAAATGTAATATGGGCGCTAAAAGGATAATTGGAATAATCATAGTTTTAAATAAGTTTAGCATATCAGTAGCCTCGTGGGGATGCTTTTAGCGACAGCTTCCAAAGCAAATGTAGTTTTAGAATATGCAAAATTTGGTTGTTGGTGAAACAATTTAAATTTCGAGTTGTCGCGTGCAGCATCACAATAAATAAATAAATTGTATCAGTTCCACAAGGCACGACATTTTTGATGTGTTAGCCAGTTGTTTCAAGCGTCTCGCTATTCATGTGCCGATCGCTTTAAAAACAATAATGTCTGAGATGAAATGTCTTTGGTAACTGTTTATTTCGTAGTGTAAGCCATCAGCTTTTCTAGGTTGTCGGCGACCCTATATAGGCTAGTTCTTGCAATGTCTTTTTTAATTTGAAACTTCACACTATCCTTGGATCCCTAGTTTTTATTACAAAAACAAAGATATCGTGCTATTTTGCTGTTGTATTTGCGTGTGCAGTACAACGTTTTACAAAAATATATTTACCAACAGTAGGCGACTTAAAAATGGCTTTTTGTGCTTCTAACTTTTATTGAAATCTTGTCCTAAAATATGTGAAATAGCGTTCTAATGATTCTAATTCAAAATTTCCTCGGGAGGCGTGCCCCCGGTTCCCCCTAGATTTCTCGCGTCTTTGGCGCTCACATTCGAAATGCCATAAAAATTTTACTCCCCCCCCCCAAATAAAAAGTTTAGACCCTGGCTACGCCACTGCACAGGACTATTTTCCTCGTTCTTTAAAGATGCTAAAATGATAAATAAATTTCAGTTTATTTCAAGCAAGTCCTCAGTATGTCAAATGGTCAAGATCCTTAATATACGCTAAGTTTGAGGTCCGAATCCATCAGTGGATTCTCAAGAGTATTCTGACTTCTCGCAAACAGATGGCCTGATGAGAGGCGAAAATGAGGGCCAGCCAGGGTGAGGTGCGGGCAAGGTTCAGGTAAACTTGTTGTCTGAAACAGCGAGAATATGTTTTGTGTATGCATGCATATTATTGTGTTGGGCGAATAGCAGTTAAACATCGGGATCCACTGTCAGACAAATAACCATGGCGATTATTAGATAAAGTATTTGGTTGTTTTAGTGTATTTCTTGTATATTTTTTCAGAAATAAAGCACCAAGGCATGAGAAAGTCCGCCAGCATGGCAGCATGCTACCAGGAAATTTTTTTAATCTCACAGAAAATTTTTAAGGAAAAGCAAGATATCAAGAACGAAGCTCGAGAAATTTCAAAAATTAGCATTAAAGTAACAAACACCACAATTATAGCATAAATACAACAATCATAACATAGGAATTTGTATTATGTGGCAGTGCTACGACTATCTGTTATCATGATTCACGATTATGATACATGTGGAAAACAAGGGCGTACTACTATTTAACAATTAGACAACGAAGCCGAGTTGTCTATGAGCGAATAGTCAACGAGGCGAAGCCGAGTTGACTATTCGTTCAGAGACAACGAGGCTGAGTTGTCTAATTGTTTTAGTATAAACCACACAAAGAAAACGGAATTTTTCACCTGATTTTTATGTAAAATAACAATGTTTTAACAAAATGAGCGTTTAAATGGCTTCCTTTGGCTTTGCCGACATTTCGCCTTGGCTTTGTTGACAACTACTCAGTGTTGCGAACTCCCAAGAATGACTTGAAAAATACAACTTGTGAGTTTTAAAAAAGTTAAAAAACATGTCGTAAAACAGTATAATAGTAAGAGACCGTTATAGAAGCAAATTTTGGTTAATTAAAACTTATTTAAAAGAAGGAAACAAGGCTTAAAAAGTCCAAAATTTCGAACACAAAATGGCTTCCCGAATTGTTACTAAATTAGTAAATAAAGTTTACGTTAAAAAGCCGAATAAAAATGCACACACATGCAAAAGAATCCGATTATCCGAATGTCGTTGAAATCTTTAAAATATCTGGAACATAAAGAGGCAAACAATTTCCATAATCTAGTGTATACATAGAGAATAGTTATAAAATATTATGCATATATTTTAAAAATTCGCCTGTCACTTTCATGTTCAAAACTACGAGCAAAGTTGAGAAAACTTAAAAATTTTACCGCATGTGTCAGCAGTTTCCAAGATTCTTTGTTTGTGTGTAATCCAGAACCAAAACTAGGCCATTTTGATAAGCTTTTTCCCTTTAAATGCAGCTTTTAATACTTAAAAACGGCCATTGACTCTCGCGCCCTTCGCCGCTTGTTGCTACTAGTAGGCTATCACTAATAGCCTACTAGTAGCGTAGCCAATCAGAACGCACGATATATGATAGCCTACTAGTAGGTTTATACTAATATTGAATAGTGCATGAATACTGATATAAATTCAGATTTGCAATCTGAAAACAAAATTCAAATATTGTTTCATCGAATTGTAGAAATATCAAATATAATTTAACTACCTTACTAGTTACTAGTTACTATTTTTTTTTTTATCTACTTTTCGACTATATTTCAGTCATCATCAGGATAAAAAGTTACTACCCTAGTAGTAATTTGCATGATGAAATGTCCTTTCTTGAGAGTTGAGACTTGAGACAAGCAGTTGCATTGTCTACAGTGCTACACTGCTACTATTACTAATACTATATAAAACTAATGACTTTTGTGTGTTACTCTTTTGTAATGAGAATGTTGAAACCATTTAAAATGACAAAAGTGCAAAACTTTAGACTTTAGTACTGTAACTAAGTGTATGTAATCAATCACATCATAGGACCTGGACATCCATCAAATATCAATTATTAATCAGTGTATTAATTAACCATCCATGAAAGGAAACTTCGAGGGCTGGTGAGAAACTCTATCCACAACTTTTGACACAGTATATTGAAAATGATCCCTTATGTTTATTGTTCGGACAAAGTACCAAGCTTTTTTCTTTGCTTTATCCAACCAGTACTGATCCATTGCATGTCGAACTATGGGGTCACAATGGGCAATGGTTGGACCATTCACTGCGATTTCCATTTCAGCTTCACCTATCTTCTTTAACGGTTCTCAATTTATTAAAATGAAATTCATAGACACTAATGAGGAACTCGATGACCGATTCAACAGACGCTTTCACTGATACACAGCTTGTACAAACTTTTCAATTTCTTTGTAGTTTCCACAACTTTCATTTATCAGGACCTTTATGATGTCCTTTGAATTGATGTTCTTTGTATCAGTATTCATGGGGACAAGTGATTTGATTCGAGCAACTAAATCATGGAATTGAGCATAAAGAACATTATCCGGCACACTGGCTACGGATCTGACAGGCAGTTCACGAATGGATTTGACATACTGATCAGCCTTTGTTGCAACAGTTTTTATTGGACCATCATGTTTCACTGTGTACAGAATTGATTTGAGGTCGGTTATTGTCTTTGTGTGTGAAATAACCTTAACGTCATCTTCATCAAATATGTTTTCTTCCAGTTCTTTGGATAGTTTTTCTGTAAACACTTTCAATTCATGTGTTGCACTTGCAACAACATTTTCTTGACAAAGTCGACTTTCTTTTCTGGATACGGATCATCTGGAACCACTAAAGAACAGATCGTCTTTTCCTCTTTCCACTCTTCACAGCAGCATGAAATTCTTGCCAATAGCAAACCGTTTTGTTATCTTTGAGTGGGCACAAGTTGCAATCTTCCATACAATCTGCCATCTTTCTTAACTTCGCATTAGCTGCTCGAAACTCTTCTAGCCTTTCATATGGGAGGAGATTAACTTCTTGCACTTTGTTTACAAGAATGCCATATTGGTTGCAAATGTTCGCCAACCCTGTGAGGTGAAGGAGAAACCTGGTGTTGAGAATGCTGGATGACAGAGCTGCAGCATCTGAACCTTTTTGTCTTTTCTTAGCGTCATCATCAATTGCCCCCATTTGTGTATTTTGGAGACAACTTACAACTGGTTCTAAATCTTTAATCATGTTGATGAACACCAATCTTTTAGAGTTAACAAATCTTGTTTCACATGTTTTTGCAAGATTTAATGTTAGCTGTTGCTTAAACTTTTCGCACTCCTCAACAAGTTTTTCATAATCTGCCCCCAGTTGCATAGCTTGGAAACACTGATACAAACATCAATTAAGTACATCTAAGACAGACCCACTTAAAATTGTCTTCTTTCATTAGCCACGAATCAACAAGACCAGTCCTATGCATTGCATCCGAAGACCAATTTAAATCACCATCGGCAAAGCCATACAGTCTCTCACAAGCCTCGGGAATACCTAAATGGAAGTACTGGCCATCTGTTGATCCTCCTTCTAACTGCTCTCCAACTATGTGTATGGTAAGTTCTTTGTATGTTTGCATGGTGATAAAATATAATAGGTTTTGTTTGTTTTGTTCACATATTATTAGCACTGATGAAGATCCGGGCTTACGGATCGAAAGCTTTGCAGTAATAAATTTACGTGGTGTTTCCACAAACAAAACCTATTATGTGTATGGTGTCTAAGTTTTCTTTATATTGTCAGCTATATCAACTCCATGATGGCCTTTAACAATGGGATGCACAAGTAGTACTACTTGTACTAGTTTTCTGCATCAGGTACTACCATAGCTATTGCATCTCAGCATCTACCTTTCTTGTGTTTCTTTAGCTGTATAGACCACTTTCATT